TTCGTTAAGTTGTTTGTTTCGTAAGAATTCCAGAAATGAACCAAAATGACATTTAATCTTTTTTGACATTTATGACATTTAATTAATAACTTGTGAGGTTATGTGTTGGAAAATTCTCATTTGATTTCGAAATAAGTTATAATCAAAAATTTTAAAATAATGAAGAAACATCCGTATAGAAAATTTATAAAACTAACCTAAAAATGTAATTCGTAAACAATTTTAAGCTGTCATAAATTATTACCAACCTTAAAAACATAAAATCCCTAAAGGTTCCAATTTGACGTTTTCAAACGTCAAATAACTACAGCTACTGAAGACTAATACAACTACTAGAAGACTATATATTACTAATACAAGATAATACACTGCTAGCCGATACAACTAATCCAAGACTACTTGTAAAAGACTACATACTGTTAATATAAGGTTAGAACTGTTTTCAAAAGACTAGACTTTGCTGGCCGACTAACATACTGCTGGCAGCTGGTAAAATATTGTAATTCATAAATACATGTACAATTCATGTATACATAAAATTCCTGTTATAACTCGAAAAGGAACGGCGATTTTATAAACGAAATAGGTTCTAAATTGAATTAAAAAGAGTACTGTTCTATATAGACGATTTCATTCTGATTAAGTGTTTGTAAAATTAAAAGTTTGAAAATTGTCTTTCATGTAATAACTCCACGAAATATCGTTGCAGAATCATTAGGATTTTACGCCCCTGAAGTCATCTTAAGTCGGGCATTTTCGATTCAATCTTTTCTTTCTATTAGGTGTCTAATTTCTATTTTTTTGCTTTCTGCCATGCCTCTTTTTCATCTCTCTAGTCTCTATTAAGTCTCATTCTTCCATTAGCAGCATTTTTCCCATCTTTATTTTTTCTTCCCAGCCTCTTTTTTTTGTAATTTCAGTCATTTTCTAGTCTCTCTTCAATCTCTTCCTTCTATTACGACTCTTATTTCAATTTTTCTCCTTTCTGTCATGCCTCTTTTCATCTCTCCAGTCTCTATTAAGTCTCATTCTTCAATTATCAGCATTTTTCCCATCATTACTTTTTCTTCCCAGCCTCTTTTTTTGTAATTTCAGTCATTTTCTAGTCTCTATTCAATCTCCTCCTTCTATTACTACTCCTATTTCCATTTTTTTGCTTTCTGCCATGCCTCTTTTTCGTCTCTCTAGTCTCTATTAAGTCTCATTCTTCAATTAGCAGCATTTTTCCCATCTTTATTTTTTCTTCCCAGTCTCTTTTTTGTAATTTCAGCCATTTTCTAGTTTCTATTCAATCTCCTCCTTCTATTACTACTCTTATTTCCATTTTTTTGCTTTCTGCCATGCCTTTTTTTCATCTCTCTAGTCTCTAGTAAGTCTCATTCTTCAATTAGTAGCATTTTTTCCATCTTTATTTTTTCTTCCCAGTTTCTTTTTTGTAATTTCAGTCATTTTTTAGTCTCTATTCAATCTCTTCCTTCTATTACGACTCTCATTTCCATTTTTCTGCTTTCTGCCATGCCTCTTTTTCATCTCTCTAGTCTCTATTAAGTCTCATTCTTCAATTAGCAGCATTTTTCCCATCTTTATTTTTTCTTCCCAGTCTCTTTTTTGTAATTTTAGTCATTTTCTAGTCTCTATTCAATCTCTTTCTTCTATTACGACTCTATTTCCATTTTTCCGCTTTCTGTCATGCCTCTTTTCATCTCTCCAGTCTCTATTAACTCTCATTCTTCCATTAGCAGCATTTTTCCCATCTTTATTTTTTCTCCCCTGCCTCTTTTTTGTAATTTCAGTCATTTTCTAGTCTCTGTTCAATCTCTTTCTTCTATCAGGACTCTTATTTCCACCTCTCTGCTTTCTGCCAAGCCTCTGTTTCATCGTTCCAGTCTCTTTTTTTGTTATTTCAGTCATTTTCTAGTCCCTATTCAATCTCTTCTATTAATAGGAGTCTCATTTCCATTTTTCTGCTTTCTGCCAAACCTCTTTTTAACCTCTCCAGTCTCTATTAAGTCTCATTCTTCAATTAGCAGCATTTTTCTCATCTTAATTTTTCTTCCCAGCCTCTTTTTTGTAATTTCAGTCATTTTCTAGTCTCTATTCAATCTCCTCCTTCTATTACGACTCTTATTTCCATTTTTCTGCTTTCTGCCACGCCTCTTTTTCATTTTTCCAGTCTCTATTAAGTCTCATTCTTCAATTAGCAGCATTTTTCCCATCTTTATTTTTTCTTCCCAGCCTCTTTTTTGTAATTTCAATCATTTTCTAGTCTCTATTCAATCTCCTCCTTCTATTACTACTCTTATTTCCATTTTTTTGCTTTCTACCATGCCTTTTTTTCATCTCTACAGTCTTTATTAAGTCCCAATCTTCAATTACCAACATTTTTCCCACCTTTATTTTTTCTGCCCAGTCTCTTTTTTGTCATTTCAATCATTTTCTAGTTTCTATTCAATCTCTTCTGTCTATTAGAAGTCTCATTTCCATTTTTCTGCTTTCTGCCATGCCTCTTTTTAACCTCTCCAGTCTCTATTAAGTCTCATTCTTCTATTACCAGCAATTTTTCCCATCTTTATTTTCCTTCCCAGTTTCTTTTTTGCCTTTCCATGTTCTATTCACTATCTTTCTTCTATTACCAGCTCATTTCGAATCTTACCCCTTTCTGTCCAGTCTCCTTTTTAGACCTCCCAGTTTCTACTTAGTCTTTTTTTTGTTATCAACGACCCAAGCAGAATAAAAATAGTCTTATCAAACATTATTATTATTGATTACTTGATCAGTTTAATTTGAGCTGCAGCAAATTTTTCACCACGTCTAAAACAGCAAATATTGCAAAAAATGACTTTTGCCATTTCCTGTTTCATTACAAAACTAGCTGTCCATGATTTTTAGTAAATTTCGTATTGAGCAGAATTTTTAATTTGAGCTGCAGTAAATTTCTCATCATGTCTAAAACAGCAAATATTGCAAAAAATTACTTTTAGCATTTTATATTTTGTTACAAAACTAGTTTTTGGTGATTTTTTGCAAATGTTGTCTGACTTTTGGTGATTCTGTCTGTGCGCAGAATCTTTAATCAGCTTAATTTGAGCTGCAACAAATTTTTCACCACATCTAAAACAGCAAATATTGCAACAAATAACTTTCGCCATTTCCTCTCATTTCCCCTCATTTCTATCTCATTACAAAATTATTTTTCCATGATTTTTAACAAATTTTGGGTTGAGCAGAATCTTTAATCAGCTTAATTTGAGCTGCAGCAGATTTCTCATCATGTTTAAATCAGTAAATATTGCAAAAAATACTTTTACCATCTCCTATTTCATTACAAAACTTGTTTTTGCAAATTTTGGGTTGAGCAGAATCTTCAATTTGAGCTGTAGCAAATTCCTCATCATGTCTAAAACATCAAAAAATATTTCTGCCATCTCCTATTGCATTACAAAACTAATTTTTTGTTATTTTTAGCAAATTTTGGGTTGAGCAGAAACTTTAATCAGCTTAATTTGAGCCTCAGTAAATTTCACATCATGTCTAAAACAGTAAATATTGAAAAAAATGACTTCTGCCATTTCTTATTTCATTACAAAACTAATTTTTTGTTATTTTTAGCAAATTTTGGGTTGAAGAAAATCTTTAATCAGCTTAATTTAAGCTGCAGCAGATTCCTCATCATGTCTAAAACATCAAAAAATACTTCTACCATCTCCTATTTCATTACAATACTAGTTTTAGGTGATTTTTAGCAAATTTTGGGTTGAGCAGAATTTTTAATCAACTTAATTTAAGTTGCGGCAGATTCCTCATCATGTCTAAAACATCAAAAAATATTTGTGCCATCTCCTATTGCATTACAAAACTAATTTTTTGTTATTTTTAGCAAATTTTGAGTTGAGCAGAATCTTTAATTAGCTTAATTCAAGCTGCAATAAATTTCACATCATGTCTAAAACAGCAAATATTGCAAAAAATGACTTCTGCCATTTCTTATTTCATTACAAAATTAATTTTTTGTTATTTTTAGCAAATTTTGGGTTGAGCAGAATCTTCAATTAGCTTAATTTGATTTGCGGCAGATTCCTCATCATGTCTAAAACATCAAAAAATACTTCTGCCATCCTCTATCTCATTACAAAACTAGTTTTTTTGTTATTTTTAGCAAATTTTGGGTTGAGCAAAATCTTCAATTAGCTTAATTTGAGCTGCAGCAGATTCCTCATCATGTCTAAAACACCAAAAAATATTTCTACCATCTCCTATTGCATTACAAAACTAATTTTTGGTGATTTTTAGCAAATTTTGGGTTGAGCAGTATCTTCAATTAACTTAATTTGAGCTGCAGCAGATTCCTCATCATGTCTAAAATACCAAAAAATACTTCTACCATCTCCTATTGCATTACAAAACTAATTTTTTGTTATTTTTAGCAAATTTTGGGTTGAGCAGAATCTTCAATTAGCTTAATTTAAGCTGCAGCTGATTCCTCATCAAGTCTAAAACACCAAAAAATGCTTCTACCATCTCCTATTTCATTACAAAACTAGTTTTTGGTGATTTTTAGCAAATTTTGGGTTGAGCAGAATCTTTAATCAGCTTAATTTGAGTTGCGGCAGATTTCTCATCATGTCTAAAACATCAAAAAATATTTCTGCCATCTCCTATTGCATTACAAAACTAATTTTTTGGTGATTTTTACCAAATTTTGGATTGAGCAGGATCTTTGATCACCCCTTAACATTTTATTTGTTTTTTTTCTTGTTCTGAGCCCTTATTTGTTATTTTCATGGCTCAACCCAACCAATCCCGCGCGATTATAATCATTAAAATTAGAAAATTTAGGTAAATAAGACCCATAACCAATTCTGTCAAATGTCTGTCAAATAAAGTTAGTATGTATTGCGTCTCCATAGCAACCTAACAACTATGAAATTAAGTTCTACTGATTTGTCTTGATAGATGAGTCACTATTTATTTAAATAATTACAAAAAAAAATATTACTTACATTTTTTTTTGATTATAACCTCAATCTTAACACAACCCCATTTAACTCACTGTTTAAAAAGTTTATTAAAAAAAAATCAATTTTTTATTACACTTAGAAATTAATTTGAAATTCCTTAGCACTTTTTACTAAAAAATATTTCTTAAAACTTTTTAAATCCTTATAAAATCGTCTACTTTTAATAATCCCCATTTAAAAAAAAATTTATTGTTCCTACACAAAAGAGAAAAACCTCAAACGCTCATTAAATCTTAGACCAGAAGCGATAACAAGACCTCGAACGAAAATAATTTTCAGCCTCGCGACCGCGCAACCTTTTCAAACTGCGATTTTTTCTTCTTTTTCGACGTTGATTTTTTGTTTTTAAAGAGCCCCCCCTTGTGTATCGCGTGTAGGAACTTTGGAGTAGTGTAGATCCCGCTGTGTGTGTGAGAGTACGAAAATAGATTCGAGATTTTATAAATATCCTGTATGCTAGGTGCTGCTGCGGCATTTCACTCCCAAATCTTTCAATTTTTACACTTTATACATCAAAAACGTTTATTTAAAAATAAAAAAAAATTATTTTAATTTATAAATTAATTAAAATTTCGTATTTTGTATAATTCAAAATTAATTTTCGAAAAATGTAAACTCCTCGGGGTTAGGTTGGGGAATAATATTTTAAAATTAGCTCAGTTTGAAACGTTCCATTAAATGGAACGGGTTTCTTTGTTAACTTGGATTTTAAAATCCGAATTTAATTCGTAGAAATGTATTACGGCTCGGATCCGGAAACTTTGGATCGTCGAAACGAGACGGTTTGTTCGCGATTTTTAAAGTTCACCTGGAAAACGATTACGTTCTTTTTCTCGCACATTACTTTAGTTTCGATGGTTGTTTCTTATTGTATCCTCGGCGCCGTTACTTTCGAAAAGTTGGAGAAAGAAAACGAGATTACGGTACGTAATTTTTGACTGAAATTCATAGATATTGACTGAAATCCACGCGTTAAACTTGAGCGTGTGAAACCGGAAGTTTGCGACACGTACCAAATTCTCTCACTTCATCCCCCTTCGCCCTCTTCCTATATACCCTGTATACGTATGGGAGGCGTGCCGAACACGTCGCATTGTTTGCTAGAAATTAGCTCTTCGTGTCACCCCCTCCGCGCCTCGTTTCCCCAAATCCGACTTTTCTACACGGTCCGTATGGAACACTCCCCCAGTTTTCGACATCCCTAGTTTCACGTCCCCCCTCGTTTCGCTACTATTCAGTTTCGAACCTTCCTATTCGACCCTCAGGACTACTTTCAGGAAATTTACATGAATTATTAAAACCCTTTGAAATTATTTCTTAAACTTAGCATATGGCATAAACTTATTTATAAACTGAGTTACATTTTCTTAAATGGTTTTAATGTTAACAAATCACTTTTTAAACCCTTTGTGTCCCAAAAAGTCAAACCTGTAGATACAGAACGACGAAAATCTAAGTGTCAAAAAAGATGCTAATTCAAGACTTCCTGGAAATCGTATTTATGGAAATTAAGGAATGGGACTTACTTTAAATTAAAGCTGAAAGCTTCCTCTTTAAAATGATGTATCATAATTGTTGGGTTGGATTGGAAGAATATTGAGAAAAAAAATGTTGAAACAAAACCTACATTTTCGTATTACCTAAAACTGTCAAAAAATATGCTAATTTAAAAATTCCTGGAAGCCGTATTTATTGAAATTATGGAATGAGACTTATTCTAAATTAAAGTTCAAAGCTTTCTCTTTAAAATGATGTATCATAATTGTTGGGTTGGATTGGAAAAATTTTGAGAAAAAAAATGTTGAAACAAAACCTTCATTTTCGTATTACATAAAAGTGTCAAAAAAGATGCTAATTCAAAAATTTCTGGAAGCAATATTTATTGAAATTAAGGAATGAGACTTATTCTAAATTAAAACTCAAAGTTTTCTCTTTAAAATGATGTATCATAATTGTTGGGTTGGATTGGAAAAATATTGAGAAAAAAAATGTTGAAACAAAACTTACATTTTCGTGTAACCTAAAAGTGCCAAAAAAGATGCTAATTCAAAAATTCCTGGAAGCCGTAATTATTGAAATTAAGGAATGAGACTTATTTTAAATTAAAGTTCAAAGCTTTCTCTTTAAAATGATGTATCATAATTGTTGGGTTGGATTAGAAAAATATTGAGAAAAAAAATGTTGCAATAAAACTTACATTTTCGTGTAACCTAAAAGTGTCAAAAAAAATGCTAATTCAAAAATTTCTGGAAGCCGAATTTATTGAAATTAGGAAATGAGACTTATTCTAAATTAAAGCTCAAAGTTTTTTCTTTAAAATGATGTATCATAATTGTTGGGTTGGATTAGAAAAATATTGAGAAAAAAAATGTTGAAACAAAACTTACATTTTCGTATAACCTAAAAGTGTCAAAAAGAATGCTAACTTAAAAATTCCTGGAAGCCGTATTTATTAAAATTAAGGAATGAGACTTATTCTAAATCAAAGTTCAAAGCTTTCTCTTTAAAATGATGTATCATAATTGTTGGGTTGGATTGGAAAAACATTGAGAAAAAAATGTTGAAACAAAACCAACATTTTCATATTACTTAAAAGTGTCAAAAGAGATGCTAATTTAAAAATTCGTGGAAGCCGTATTTATTGAAATTAAGGAATGAGACTTATTCTAAATTAAAGTTCAAAGCTTTCTCTTTAAAATGATGTATAATAATTGTTGAGTTGGATTGGAAAAATATTGAGAAAAAAAATGTTGAAACAAAACTTACATTTTCGTATAACCTAAAAGTGCCAAAAAAGATGCTAATTTAAAAATTCCTGGAAGCCGTATTTATTGAAATTAAGAAATAAGACTTATTTTAAATTAAAGCTTAAAGCTTTCTCTTTAAGATGATGTATCATAATTGTTGAGTTGGATTAGAAAAATATTGAGAAAAAAAAAAGTTGAAACAAAACCTACATTTTTGTATTACCTAAAAGTGTCAAAAAAGATGCTAATTCAAAACTTCCTAGAAGCCGTATTTTAAATTAATAATAATAATAATAAATAAAGGGTTAAACAACAAATTAATTTTGACATTTAGTTACCAACTTCATTATTTATACGTCATCTTTGTATTTTAAACGTCAATTTTTGACAGTTCATTATCAATTTCATCATTTTACGTCATTTATTACTTTTAAACGACAATTTTAATTTTAAAACGTCACTTTTTGACAGTTAGTTGTCATATTTATTATTTACACGTCAATTACGATTCTAAAACGTCAACTTTTAACATTAAATTTTTAAAAATCGTCACAACATTTAATATTAACAAATCATTTTTTAAAATAACAAATTAATTTTGACATTTCGTTGCCAACTTCATTATTTATACGTCATCTTTGAATTTTAAACGTCAATTTTTGACAGTTCGTAGTCAACTTTGTTGTTTATGCATCAAAAAACGTTAAATAAAAGATCTCAAAAGGCATACAGATTAATTAGCCTAACTCCATTTCTCCTCTGGTGATTGTCACTAATCCATTCCAGCCAAGTCAACATGCTTTTCAGAAAGCAAAATCAACCATTACTGCTCTCCATACTTTGACTAGCACTTTAGAGGAGACAATTATAACCAAAGAGATAGCCCTATGTGCTTTCATAGGCATAGAGATATACAACCGTCTTTTAAGGCACTTAGAGGCCCTTTCGCTTGGAGCAGGAAGCACCCTCCATTGTAGGCAGAACTATTAACCTCAAAACAGAAGTCAAAAAAACTTAGGTAATACTCTGTCGCAGGTGCTTTGGAAGGAATTGGGGTCTTAAACCACGAGTATACTGTAGCAAAACAACGCCAAAAGAGATCTAAAATTTTCAAAAACTATGCGGGAAGCTTGAAATTTGGTACAAACTAACCTTAAATGTTCTTTTATAACCCCAAAAAGTTTCATTTCTTAATTCCAAATCGTTTCGGAGAAAAAAATTTTTCTTTAATTTAATGTTTTCAAAAACGTCAAATTCAATGTAGTGACTTAAAATTTTTTATAAAAAAAAAACCGTTCAACCTGGAAACTCAAAATTCGGTACAATCTAATCTCAAACAATACATTATAACCTCAAATACATTTTATTCCTTAATTTTAATCCATATTAAAGAAAAACAATTTTTTCTTCAACCTCACTTTCAAAAACGTCAAATTCAAAGGGGTGATTTTTAAAAATTTTTATAAAAAAAACTGTTCATTCGGGAATCTTAAAATTCGGTATAACCTAACCTCAAATAATCCTTTATAACTTCAAATATATTTTATTCCTTAATTTTAATCAATTTCGGAGAAAAACAATTTTTTCTTCAACCTCACTTTCAAAAACGTCAAATCCAAAGAGGTCATTTTTAAAAATCTTCATTAAAGAAACTGTTCATCCGGGAAACTTAAAATTCGGTGTAACCTAACCTCAAACGATCCTTTATACCCTCAAAAAATTTTATTCTTTAATTCCTAACAGTTTTGGAGAAAATCATTTTCTTTTTTATTCACTTTTTAGAAACGTCAAAGGAACTCGGAACTTTTTAAGTTTTATAAAAAACAAACCAATTATCCTGGAAGATTATAATTTGGTATAACCTAACCTCAAACGATCCTTTATAACCTCAAAAAATTTCATTCTTTAATTCCTAACAGTTTTGGAGAAAATCATTTCTTTCTTTATTCACTTTTTAGAAACGTCAAATGAACTCGGAACTTTTTAAGTTTTATAAAAAACAAACCAATTATCCTGGAAGGTTATAATTTGGTGTAACCTAACCTCAAACGATCCTTTATAACCTCAAAAAAATTCATTCTTTAATTCCTAACAGTTTTGGAAAAAATCATTTTTCTCTTTATTAACTTTTTAGAAACGTCAAATGAACTCGGAACTTTTTAAGCTTTATAAAAAACAAACCAATTATCCTGGAAGGTTATAATTTGGTATAACCTATCCTCAAATAATCCTCCCAAATACATTTTATTTCTTAATTTTAACCCATTTCGGAGAAAAAAACGTTTTGCTTTACTAAAATTTTTATTTTTTGCAGGTTAAGAAAAACATCAGCAGCATTAGACACCACATAATGGATAAATTATGGAACATCACGTACCACGGCGAAGAAGTGTTAAAGGAGGACACCTTCATCAACAGCTCGATTGACATTTTAAACGATTTCGAGCAAGAACTAATAAAAGCGATAAAGAACCACGGTTGGGATGGAAACGAGGATTTGAACAAAGTCCAATGGAACTTCGCGGGGTCGCTATTTTACTCGATAATCGTCATTACAACAATCGGTAAGTAACTTAAATTAATCCCTCGTCTTTGTTATTTCGCTTTTCCTCCTCCGCTTTTATTTTATCGCCCTGTTTTCTTTTTATTACAAACTGGGTCAAATCCAATCAGAAATCGACACCTCCGTTGTCGCTTCGATTGGACCCGGAACAAAGAGGTTCACTCTCACCCCGTTAACGCGAGACGATTTCCTATCGTTCTTTTTTTGACTCTTCTCTTTTTATCTTTATAGTTTTTCTTTCTTTATTTTTTTTTAACAACTTATCCCGGCTCTTTCTCCTTTTACATTCACCTCTTTCTTTCTCGTCTTGTTATCGACGTCTCTGGGGAAGTTAAAAATGTTCACCGACTAGCCCCCCGAGGGGGGAAAGACGAAACGAAACGACCCACCCCGTTTTACCCCAACCCAACTCATTTCACCGTAAAAATGTCGACACAGCTTTAGTGACGATGTTGGTGAGTATGCAACCAATATCACACAAAATATATTTAAATACGCAATCGTGTATTGTAATACCAATCTGTAATATTGGTTACATAGTTGCTTCAATTAAACTTCTAGTTTTATACTACCACTATCGCTAGAACTAATACAAGACCTAGAACTAGAATCGTATTATATTACATTTATTTCAAAAAACCAAAAAAGTCGAATTTTCAACTTTTAATTTTGACATATTTGTCATCTTCATAAAAAATCCTTTAAAATGAGTCCAAACTCGACGTATTTAACTTTAATATTAATGGAAATACAATCACTTCCGATTTGAAACGTCAACGTCAATTTTGACATATTTGTCATCTTCGTGAATAAACCTTTAAAATGAGTCCAAACATGACGTACTTATCTCAAAAAACAAAAAAGTTAGAATAAAAAACGTTAAACCCGAAGTTGGCAACAATGAAGATAGCAATTTAATTTTTAAACATTAATACCAACCTTAATTTTTTATTTTTAATAATTATATTTTTATTTTTGTGACAAATTTTAACATATTTTATAAAAATGAAGAATATGTCAAAATGACATTGACATTTCAAACCGGAAGTTGTTTATATCTCGAGTAATATTCGAATTAAACGTATCATGTTTGGGCTCATTTTAAAGGATTTTTCACAACGATTACATATATGTCAAAATTGACGTTGACATTCTTAACCGGAAGTTGACCATAACTCCATTAATATTGAAGATAAATATGTCGTGTTTGTACTCATTTTAAAGGATTTTTAATGAAGATTACAAATATGTCAAAATTGAGGTTGACATTTTAAACCTGAAGTTAGTTATCATATAATAGACAAATGGACAACTTGTCTTTACTACAAAAACCTTTAAAATAAGTCCAAATTTGTTATCTCGGTTAATCTTTGAGATAATTTCATCGAGTTTGGACTCATTTTAAAGCATTTTTAATTTTATTTTTGATTTTAAATGAATTAATACCTTTTGAAAATATTTATAATAAAAAAAACTAAATTTTTTTGTTGATAATATTAAATTCGTAATCTACATTAAAATCCCTTTAATTTCATACCAAACACGACATATTTAGATAAAAAATAAAAAAAAGTTAGGTTAAAATCAACAATGATAGCCGGCATCTTGAATTTTTTTATCATTAAAATTGGTTTTTTGGGTTCATTTTTTAGATAAACCCATCGAGTTTGGACTCATTTTAAAGCATTTTTAATTTACTTTACGATTTTGAATGAATTAATTCTTTTTAAAAATATTTATAAAATCGAAAATTCCATTTTTTTTATGATAATATTAGATTCGTAATATATATTAAAATCCCTTCAATTTGATACAACTTTAGTTTTATTATTCTATTCGTAATCTTCCCAAAATTCATCATATATTTATTCATTTCTATTCTTCATTGATTTCAAAAAACCAAAAAATTCGAACTTTCAACTTTTAATTTTGACATATTTGTCAACTTCATAAAAAATCCTTTAAAATGAGTCCAAACTCGACATAACCGCTATAATTTCTTCGATCCAACCAGATCCGACTTTAACAGGGCGTTTATCGAAGACCAAGTTAAGATCGATTCATACCTGAAAAAACTTTTATACATACCAAGAATTTCGTATAACTCGCAATATGCAGAACTAGAATCATTCGGGTTTAGTCGTGAAATAACTTTCAGTTGTCAATGTCAACTTTAATTTTATTATTATATTCGTAATCTTCATAAAATAACCTTTAAAGTGAGTTCAAACTTGCCGCATTTATCTTAAAAAACCAAAAAATTCGAACTTTCAACTTTTAATTTTGACATATTTGTCATCTTCATATAAAATCCTTTAAAATGAGTCCAAACTCGATATATTTAACTTTAATATTAATGGAAATACAATCACTTCCGGTTTGAAATGTCAACGTCAATTTTGACATATTTGTCATCTTCATTAAAAAATCTTTAAAATGAGTCCAAAGATGACGCATTTATCTCAAAAAATAAAAAAGTTAAAATAAAAAACATTAAACCCGAAGATAGCAATTTAATTTTTAAATATTAATACCAACCTTAATTTTTTATTTTTTTTATTAAATTTTTGTTTTTGTGACAAATATTAAGACATTTGACGTTGACATTCTTAACCGGAAGTTGGCCATAAATTCATTAATATTGAAGATAAATATGTCGTGTTAGTACTCATTTTAAAGGATTTTTAATGAAGATTACACATATGTCAAAATTGAGGTTGACATTTTAAACCTGAAATGAGTTATCATATAATAGACAAATGGACAACTTCATGGTGTTCTTTCATGATGTATTCTTTATTAAAAAAACCTTTAAAATGTGTCCAAACATGACGCATTTATCTCAAAAAACCAAAAAGTTCGAACTTTCAACTTTTAATTTTGACATATTTGTCAACTTCATAAAAAATCCTTTAAAATGAGTCCAAACTCGACATATTTAACTTTAATATTAATGGAAATACAATCACTTCCGGTTTGAAACGTCAACGTCAATTTTGACATATTTGTCATCTTCATTAAAAAACCTTTAAAATGAGTCCAAAGATGACGCACTTATCTCAAAAAACAAAAAAGTTAGAATAAAAAACATTAAACCCGAAGTTAGCAACAATGAAGATAGCAATTTAATTTTTAAATATTAATACCAACCTTAATTTTTAATTTTTTTTTATTATATTTTTGTTTTTGTGACAAATATTAAGACATTTTATAAAAATTAAGAATATGTCAAAATGACATTGACATTTCAAACCGGAAGTTGCTTATATCTCGAGTAATATTGGAATTAAACGTATCATGTTTGGACTCATTTTAAAGGATTTTTCACGACGATTACAAATATGTCAAAATTGACGTTGACATTCTTAACCGGAAGTTGACCATAACTTCATTAATATTGAAGATAAATATGTCGTGTTTGTACTCATTTTAAAGGATTTTTAATGAAGATTACAAATATGTCAAAATTGAGGTTGACATTTTAAACCTGAAATGAGTTATCATATAATAGACAAATGGACAACTTCATGGTGTTCTTTATTAAAAACCCCTTAAAATGAGTCCAAACATGGTGCATTTATCTCAAAAAACAAAAAAGTTTGAATAAAAAACGTTAAACCTGAAGTTAGCAACAATGAAGATAGCAATTTAATTTTTAAATATTAATACCAACCTTAATTTTTTATTTGTTTTATTATATTTTATTTTTTTGTGACAAATATTAAGACATTTTATAGAAATTAAGAATATGTCAAAATGACATTGACATTTCAAACCGGAAATTGCTTATATCTCGAGTAATATTGGAATTAAACGTATCATGTTTGGACTCATTTTAACGGATTTTTCACGACGATTACAAATATGTCAAAATTGACGTTGACAATCCTAACCGGAAGTTGGCCATAAATTCATTAATATTGAAGATAAATATGTCGTGTTTGTACTCATTTTAAAGGATTTTTAATGAAGATTACAAATATGTCAAAATTGAGGTTGACATTTTAAACCTGAAGTCAGTTATCATATAATGGACTAATGGACAACTTCATGGTGTTCTTTCATGATGTATTCTTTATTAAAAAACCTTTAAATATTAATACCAACCTTAATTTTTTATTTTTTTTATTATAATTTTTGTTGTTATGACAAATATTAAGACATTTTATAAAAATTAAGAATATGTCAAAATGACATTGACATTTCAAACCGAATGTTGCTTATATCTCGAGTAATATTGGAATTAAACGTATCATGTTTGGACTTATTTTAACGGATTTTTCACGACGATTACAAATATGTCAAAATTGACGTTGACAATCCTAACCGGAAGTTGACCATAAATTCATTAATATTGAAGATAAATATGTCGTGTTTGTACTCATTTTAAAAGATTTTTGATGAAGATTCCAAATATGTCAAAATTGAGGTTGACATTTTGAACCTGAAGTTAGTTATCATATAATAGAACTTTTATAACTGAAATTAATCTAATGATGAAGAGGGATTAATCTAGTGATTGATCTAGTTCCTGAAGATGGCCAACGGCTGAAACGAGTTAGATTTAAATTCTACAGTATGTTCCCGGATCGAGTTACAAAGAGGAAAAAAATTTGTATTACTGATTTTTCAAACTTATTTCAGCATAAATAATGCGTGGGATATGTTCAAACCACTAAATCGTACGAATTTTATACTTTAACTATAGAAGTTAACGAATTATTCCCATTTTTATGTAAAAATTGGACTTTTTTCTAAATTGAAAAATTTTCAAGTTCAATTTATGATATGTAACCATAGAAACCATAAAAGTTACAACTGATGTTAGTGAAAAATATACGGACAAATCAAATTAAAATATGGCTAAATTGGCAGCAAAATTGGCTCTACACAACTTAGTTGGTTGAGTATCCAGGACGCTGCAGGATAAAGAAATCTTGGTTTGTGCGTTTCTGGATATAGAGGGAGAGTTCAACAACGCAATACCACAATCTCTTGAAAGAGCTGCTCATGACAGGGGAGTGGAAGCAACTATAGCGGGTTGGATCCGCAATATGCTAGATAGTAGAATAGTTTCTACTTCACTCCACGGTGATACGATACGCTTCAGGCCGGGAGGTGGCTGCCCGCAGGGAGGGGTGTTATCTCCCCTGCTTTGGTCCCTCCTAGTTGACGATCTGATTGCGATAGTC